CCATGATTTTATTCTCTTTTATTGCTGAGTAGTATTCCATTGTGTATATATGCCACACTTTTTTTTTTTATCCATTCATCTATTGAAGGACATCTAGGTTGATTCCACAGTATAGCTATTGTGAATTGTGCTGCTATAAACATTGATGTGGCTGTGTCCCTGTAGTATGCTGTTTTCAAGTCCTTTGGATATTGACTGAGGAGAGGAATAGCTGGGTCAAATGTTGGTTCCATTCCCAATTTTCCAAGAAATCTCCATACTGAAGCAGTACCTTTTTAGGGACCCTCTGGGCTAGCCTTAGGCTGGGTGGTGATTACATAGATAATGAGTAATTACTGCTTCCTTTCTTGAGGATTTTTCATTCCAGTGGGAGATGATAAAACACAGTAAATTGTTTCCCAACCTCAAACAACTCATGTTTAAGTAGATTAGTGCACATTTCCCTCTGTGTTCCTTTTTCCCAGCCATGAGATTCTGGTTGGCATACAAACAGATAGGAAGCCTGTTCTAGATTGTTTAACCTGTAAGTCAGTGCTGTTGACAACGGAGAAAGGTGCTATAAAGAAGAAGGCACCAAAGAATTGAAAAGAAAAGAAAAAAAGGGAGAAAAACTTAAAAAAATCAAGAAGAAGAAATAGACACCGTAGTCATTTAAAGTTTTCACTAGTAGATGAAGTAAGAACACTCAAGTGTGGGACCATTTGGTAAAAGCAACTGGGTGAGGATCAGCTGGGAATCTGGCAGGAGGCCTTGCAGGGATCTGATATATAAGTTCCTTAGTAGTTGTGGCCTCATGACTTTGTGTCATTGGGGTTAAAGAACCTACTTACTACCTGGTCAACCATGGAATGGAGAGTGAGCCCTTAATTTTATACATTCATTATGAATTTCTCTGACAACAGATTCTTTTGTTAAGGAAACCCTGAAATTGGTGTAAGCACGGTAGAGATAGTCCCTGAGCCTGTGGTGCAAAAGAAAGAGATTGATTGTTTAACCTGGAAAGTTAGGACAGGTTCCCCAGAGGAGAAGGATACGGGCCCTATGGGAGGGTAAGCAGAACTAGGTCAATGAAAACCTGAGAGTGTAATGAAAGCACAGGACACTGGGAATGTGGAGAGTGTTGAGAAAGGCAAGAGTGATATGGAGTGAATGGATGACTTACCCATAAAGTTTATGAATTGCAGAAGGCAGCTCTGTTGCTGTAACTCTGATCTTTTTATTAGTATTAAAAACACTGAAATCTCATTTCTACTAATTTTTTAATTCCTCTGTAGGATAATTCTAATTTACTAACTGCTGTTTTCTTCTTTAAAGAAAAGGGTGGTTGTTACCAACCTGAATGGTCACACTGCTCGAGTTAATTGTGTACAATGGATTTGTAAACAGGATGGCTGTAAGTATTAATCTGATTGTTAAATCTCAGTTTAATGGTTTTCTGATGAGATATAGTTAGTCATTTTTCTTTCATTACTTCTCTTAATGTAGCATTACCTTATCTGATTAGTTCAGTTGGAAAATAGAAGAAAAGTGGAATGCCCAGTGTAATATTTGACTTCTATTTTTACTTTATGGTGGTTGGAACATAGATGACACAGCACTGATTAAGATGAGGGGCAAGACACCCCCTCCTCTGTTGCCTACATCTTTTTAAAAAAATTTTTTGTAGTTGTGGATGGACAACGTTCTTTTATTTGTTTATTTTTATGTTTTAAGGATCAAAGCCAGTGCCTCACATGCTAGGCAAGCACTCACCACTGAGCTACAGCCCCAGCCCTGCCCATATCTTTGACTGAAAACCTGTAAGCAGGGCCTAGGCTGAGATTTTCATTCACATCCGGTCCCAAAGTACAGCTTTCCAGCAGCCATACATATATGATATTTCTTTTTTTTTTTTAAATACTTTTATTTTTATTTATTAATTTTTTAAATTGTTGATTATTATATATTTATTTTTATTATATGTGGTGTTGAGATTCGAACCCAGTGCCTCACACATGCCAGGCGAGTGCACTACCACTGAGCCATAACCCCAGACCCATATATGATATTTCAATAGATTAAATACAGAAGTAATTGTGAAAATCCAGCTTCCCTCTAATAAAGTCAGACATTAAGAAATTTGTGGAAATGTAAAACATGCTTCTCTTATTATTTTCTTAAAAAACACGGGTATTTTCCAAACCCCATAAAATGTTATTTTTGTCAATACATAATGAGCTTCATTATCATTTTTAAGTAAACTATTAATCAAGTACCTTTCAAATTTCTCAGTCTTGATTTCATATGGCTCATATAATCAAAAGTCTGTTGGAATCCTCAAAAGTTCTAAGAGTGTGAAGGAGTCCTGAGACCAAAATATTTGAAAATTACCAGACTACTGTGGATTATTTTTTTTCATCCCCAAGATTCACTGGCTCCATATTCTTAGTTAACATATTGATTGCTTTTAAGTGGTACTTCCAAAATCCAGTGGGAATATCTAAAAGTATCTTGAAATATATGTACTGTAATATTGTTGTAGAATCTGAATTAAGTTTATTTTTCATTCTGATCTAGGCACAAATGTAGAATTTCTTGAATTAATGAGACTTTGCTATGATTTTATGTATGACATTTAAAAATGTTTAATAAGCTACTTATTTCAATTGGTAAAACAGGATTGGTCATGTATCAGGTTAGTAAAAACCACTAAATAGTACAAGGAATGGCTGTTAATGCAGATGTGAAGACCATTAAAATTATATTAGTTGCAACGATTAGGCATCAAAGACTACTTGATTCTCTGTATAGGAATTTGTTATGAAATGTTAATTTGGGCTTGTGTACTTGATCTCTTTTTAAAAGTGAGGTTACATGAAATGAATTGATTGTGTATCACTGTAATCTATAACTATTATGATTGATTTCCTCTAAGAACAGGGATCTGTCCCCAGATAATTCAGATATCCTTTCCAGCCACTGCATAGGGACATATAAAAATTTAATAATACTACTTCATATTCTTAAAATGTCTGATTTTATTATATTACTTTTGTGTACTTTATTATAATTATTTTCAAAATCATGTAAATATATGGCTACATGACTTTGTGGTGCATGAAGAGATTGGAGTCCAAGATCCGAGTTGACTAGTAGCAGATTTGGGACATGAGTTTGCGACCTCTGGAGTATAAGTCTAACAGAGTTTGTTTACTTATTTATTTATTAAATATTTTTTAGTTGTAGACAGACACAATATCTTTATTTTATTTACTTATTTTTATGTGGTGCTGAGATCGAACCCAGTGTCTCACATGTGCCAGGCAAGTGCTGTATCACTGAGCCCCAGCCCCAGCCCATACTTATTTATTTTTTATAGCTGAAAAGATTTTCTAATAATCTTTGGACTATCTCCCTGTTGCTTCCCTAAATATCTAGCACATAGGGCAGAGGAGATAAATAAATGGAAAATGTAAACTAAGCCAAAATTATGCTATTTTCTGCTTTTCTGGAACTTCTATTTTTTTTCCTGTATCACCACGAAATTGTTAATGTTTAAAAGAGCTATTTTGAAGTATATGTCTAATCTAAAAAGTAAGTTGGATGTTTGATAGCAGCAGCTGATTGTAAAGTCTCATAAGTTATTCCTGCCAATAGTGTTTAGTGTGGATCAAATTATGAGGAAATAATCAGACAAATCCATATTGAGGGATACTACAAAACGGTCAGTCTGCACTGTCATTGTCAGAAAAAAGAGGAACTGTGAGACTATTCTAGATTAAAGAAGATTATAAAAATGTTGTTATGAGATATGATCCTTAGTTAGATTGCAAATCTAAAACAAAAAGTTATGAAAAGTGTTACTGGAATAATTTGGAAAATTTTAATACGGACTGTATATTGTATTGTAATATTGTGTCAATGTTAAAATTCTCGAATGTGATAATTCTATTGTGTAAATTAGGAAAATGTTCTAGTTCTTAGGAGATACATGGAAAACTCTTTGCAGTCACAGAGTTTGCAAGTTATTTTTTCCATCTTTTTTGTTGGTGCTTTATAATTGTACATAATGATGGGATTTGCTGTTACATATCTGTACTTATACACAGCATAACAATATAATTTAGCCAATATCATTCCCTAGCTCCCTCCCTGCCTCCCACCCCTTGATTGCTTTCCTTTTCTGATCTCCCTTTGATTTTCATGACATCCAGCCCCACCTTTGCTTTCCTTTTTCTTCTCTGTCTTCCGCATTTGAGAGAAAATATACAACCCTTGACCTTCTGAGTTTTGACTTGTTTTGCTTAACACAGTGGTCTCTAGTTCCATCCATTTTCCTGCAAATACCATAATTTTATTTTTATTTATGGCTGAATAAAACTCCATTATGCATATATATTTTTTCTTTATCCATTCATCCATTGATGGACATAGCCTGGTTCTCTAGTTTGGCTATTATGAATTGTCTGCTATAAACATGAGTATGCATATATTGCCAGATGATAACATTGATTCTTGAGGGTAAATACCAAGAAGTGGTATAACTGGGTTATACGTTACTACCATGAGTACATGAGTCTAGCTTTTCAAGGAACTGCCACACTGATTTCCATAGTGGTTACACTAATTTACAGTCTTACCAAGAGTGTAAAGGTGTTCCTTTTTCTCCACATCCTCTCCTTTATTTATTGTTATTTGTGCTCTTGATGACTGCCATTCTGACTGGTATGAGATGAAATCTCAGTGTAGTTTTAATTGCAGCTTAGTTTTTAATGGTTTGAAAAAAAATATGTACAAATTTAGAAAGTATAAGACATAAGGCAAAAGTTAATCTTGATGAATACAGATAAGAAATGTAGGAGAGTTCTTATATGTTTTCCTTTCTTCTTCTTTTTTTAAAATTTATTTTTATTTTTTTATTTGTTCTTTTTAGATATACATGACAATAGAGTGTATTTTGACATATTATGTGTACATGGAATATAACTTATTCTAATTTGGGTCTTATATTTTGTATAACTGAATTAAAAAAATAACTGGGGTAATGAAATAAATAAAAATATTTACTAAGATATGATTTTTTTTTTCAGCTCCTTCTACTGAATTAGTTTCTGGAGGATCTGACAATCAAGTGATTCACTGGGAAATAGAGAATAATCAAGTGGGTAGACATTTATAATGAAACATTTCTGTCTATTTGCAAACTTTCCCCCTCATTTTTCCTGTCTTTCCTTTATGAAGTTCCATCATTTTTGTTTATCTGTAATCCAGATGCTGTATTTTCTGTACTTCATAGGCCCTATATCCCTTCCCATATTCAGCTCTGTTCCAATATTCATATGCTTGCTTTCTTTTTTTCCTCCCCATATTCATGTACTTTCAATCATCTCTGTGAATTCCATGTCATTTTGGAATAATTTTCAAACTGTTCTTACATGGACTGTTCTGTTTTCGGTGGTAGTAAAAATTGTTACTGTGTTAACAGGGCAGGTACTGCCACATGAATTTAGGCCTACGTAAATCCTGAGTGATATTATCTGTACTGCATGGTATGGATGGTCCTCTACTGGTGAACAATTAGATTGTTTAAATCTATTAGCAAAGATTAAAAGTGAAAAAAGTTGATATATTAGATATCTGAACATCTACCATGAAGAAGATACAGATAAGGCAGAGTCCTCCTACTCATGAGTCATGTACATAGTTTTGAAGGCAAAATGAACTGGAATAATTACAGGTCAGATGATTCCATGCATAGATATGCTAACTTGTTGCCCAACAACCTTAGTGCTATGGGAGTTCAGAAAAGATTTAAGAGGTGGCCTTTGTGTTGAGTGTTAAAGTGCAATATGAGTGCCCTGGGGGAAATTAAAAGGGAAAGGATCCAGGTGGGGAAAAATAGCAATTTTATTACATGTATGAATCTTTTCTCCATCTCTTAAATCTCTAAGCATCCTTTGTAACTCTGAGGAACAGTTTTGGAAATGTTACTAGATAATACATTGTGGACAGTAGTTTTAGTGAAATACAATGGAAGATCATGTCAGAATTTGAATACTAGCTCTAAGTGTTTGTTCTTTATTAGTATGCATTTGGAAGTCAGCAACAATTTTTAAGCCCAGGAATATGAGTATCAAAAGAAGATTAATCTGATACCAGAATGCCAAATTAGTATGGGAAAAAATATAAAGGGAAGGATATGGGACATATTTTTGAAGGAAAATGATTTTACTATTGATTGATTGGTTGTCAAAACAGTGTTGATCTGGGCCGGGGTTGTGGCTCAGTGGTAGAATGCTTGCCTAGCGTATATGAGGCACTGGGTTCGATTCTTGGCACCACATAAAAATAAATAAAATAAGGGTATCGTGTCCACCTACAACTAAAAATAAAATTTAAAAAAAGAGTGTTGATCTGATGGCAGGTAAATAAACAATGAAAAATGATGTGACTTCCTTTTAGGGCCCTGAGAGAAAGGTGTTTCTACAGAGAAAAATAGGGAAGTAGGAAAGACGATGTGGAATCAGTTGTAGACATGTTATTTGAACTGTAGATTAGATAACCTGACTTATCCTCAAAAATAGAAGGCAGATATGGAGGTAGATTTTGGAGCTACCTGAACTTGAGTGGGGGAATGTTGCAAACTTGGCTCCTGTTTAGACCAATCTTGGCAGAAGAATCCAGAAAGGGGTATTTGAGCATTTGTTTTTGACACTTTGAGGGGAGACTTGGAAGACTCTTTCCTCAGTGCTGTCCCTCTTGTCTCCTGACAATAGAGGATTTCAGGTTAAGTAGTCGTATATGATGGCAGACAGCAGATGTAGAAAGGGGGAGAATGTGAGGCCAAACTGGGAGGAAGAGGAGAAGAAGGGGGCTGAAAGGCATAAAAGAGGGATGAAAGAATAAGGATTCAGAGGAAGGAGCCATATACTCTAACCTCCTTATGGGCTTACATGTTCTTCCCCATATGCATTTCCTTGCACATGGGTGCTCAGTGCACTTTGACTGCTGATCAAAGGAAATTTAGAGCTGGGGATATAGCTCAGTTGGTAGAGTTCTTGCCTCACATTCACATGCACAAGGTCCTGGGTTCAATCCTCACCACCACAAAAAAAAAAGAAGAAGTTGTTTAAGTTTGTGTAATAAGAGGTTTGGGTCTTTGAACAGTAAGCATTGTTTCTTAAAAAGCTAGTGAACTTGAGAGATTACTTCTGTTTTGTATGTGTGCACACGCATGCATTTGCTTAAAATTTTCTGATGCTTGCACTATAACCCTGCTTAAATGTGTAAAATGAATATTTTCATTATATTTAATTTTTTAGAGGACAATGATATAGGCTCATGTAAATAAAATTTATAAAAACAGAAAATTTTAAAGAAGGAAAAATGCTATACAAAATCTGAGCATAGTTAACTTTCTGAATAACAACATTCCAGATCCTTAGTTCTCTGTGTGTAATTATGCATAAAACAGATTGTACTGTGTGTGAACCATTTGGAAATATTTTTTCAAAGAAGCCATAGGTTAATGATTAAAGTTAGTGTACAGATCTTAATGCATAAGTATTAGCTACTTTGTTCAGTGGTAGATTTTTGCTTAAGTAATTGGGAAAACAACTGAGCAGACATTGAAGAAACACTTATTTCATCAGACAATTTAAAGAAAAGATCTTTCAAAGGAAGTAGTGGAATCTTACACATTTGAAAGAAACTCACAGACCTGGGCTTGGGAAGCACCTCAGTGTTAGAGCACTGTGTAGTATGCCAAGGTTCCATGTTCAGTCCCTAGTACTCCCAAACAAACAAACAGGAAAAAAAAAAAAAAAAAAGCAGTGAAAAGGATACCAGAAGAAATGTTGCAGGGCAAGTAAATTGATTTGATGAGCAAATTCCCATTTCTGTGTTCCATTTTTCTGTTTTGCAGCCATACTTGGTATAAACATATTCACATATTATCACCAAAAACATTTTGACTTCACAGTGAAAAGAAAAAAAAACAACTGAAAGAAACTACTAAGATAACAAGGTTAACATAACTAAAATTTTGACAAACCGACTTGTGCCTCTTGTTGTGGTTCACTTGTATAGTAATGCTGTTAGAATATATATCCTGAATCTATTCAAAATGTATATTCCGAGTTTATTCATGAGGAAACATCAGATTAATCCTAAAAGAAGGACATTGCACAAAGTTGGACTATATTCTTCAAAAAATGTCAATGTCATGGACATATTTCCATGGCAGTAGGCATACATTTATCTAAATTAGTAGGCATACATTTATCTGTATTATCATTTTTATTGTATACATATAATGTATGTCTACTCTAATTTATTTCATCAGTTATCTATTGATAATTTTGGGTTGCTTGCGATTTTTTCACTATTATAAACAGCATGTGGTGAAGATCCTTGTTGTTCATTTGTCTTTTACTGTTACTTGCTATACTAGTACTATTCTTAGAGTCAATTCTTTAATGTGACATTGCTGAGTTAAAGGGTGTTTATTTTTGTGTGCTGTTAACATAGGCTTCTTGAATGTATTCATTCTCTTCAACTTGGAGGACCTATTTCTGCGCCATACATTAATTGGCACCTTTAATCCTATGATCCTAGCTAAATAAAGGTGAAACTGGTAATTCCTTTTTTAAATCATAATTCTTTTGTCTTTCATTCTGATTCAGCTTTTAAAAAAAGTTCATCTCCAAGGCCATGAAGGACCTGTTTATGCAGTGCATGCTGTTTACCAGAAGGGGTCATCAGGTGCTGCAGTACACACACTGATAGTTTCTGCTGCTTCAGATTCCACAGTTGGACTCTGGCTTAAAAAGGGTTCAGAAGGTAGGTCTGGAGGTATTATAATCCTGATGAATGAAATAGTAATTATCAAATGAAAGAAAACTAGAGGAGTATACCTACAACTTTTTCAAACATTCAGATAACTTTAAGAATGCTACAATTGTAATCTAAATGTTTTTCTTTTACAATTTTTTCAAAATTCCCCTACACCAAACTGACAATGTAAATTCCTTCTAAGCTTTACCACTGAGTTATATCCCAGGCCCTTTTTATCTTATTTTTTAGTTTGAGACAGGATCTTACTAAGTTACTGAGTCTGGCTTGAACCTGCAATCCTCCTACCTTGGCTTCTTGTATTGCTGGGATTACAGATGTGCGCCATCATGCCTGGCCTTCTAAGCATTTTCATGAGTCATTTTGTTCTGTGTAACCTTGTTAGAATTTAGTCATTTAATGTCACCTGGTCAAGTAAGGGCTTAAGATTGACTTCTCTCATCTCTCAGCTGACAGCCAGGTCTGTGATGGTCAGAGATGGTTGTTTATGGTATGGTGTTTTTTAATTTTTTCTTAGTAACATGCCTTCAGACGTTGAACTTTGGAAATGGATTTGCTCTGGCTCTCTGTTTATCCTTTTTGCCTAATACTGATGGTGAGTATCCTTGTAAGTATATA